TGAGCCAGGCTCTTTGTGTCTGCGGCTCCGCACCCGCCGCTCCCGGCAGCCGCAGCCCGGCCATGAGCGCAGGTGGGTCGGGGCATGCCCCCCTGGCTCTGTGCATGCTCCCTTGGGTGGGTGCACACCCCAGTGTGTGGGTGCATGCTCCCTTGGGTGGGTGCACACCCCAGTGTGTGGGTGCATGCCCCCTTGGGTCTGTGCATGCTCCAGCAAAGCGGGGTTGCCTCCCTGCTGCGCTCCAGTCACTCCTTCCCAGCACAAGGGAAGCTGGGGTGGGGGGGATACGTCTTGTGCCAGTGAACCGCCCTGGCAGAAGCCAGCAGAGCACAGCGCCCCCGAGGTCTGGGGCATAACTTGGCTTGGTTCCCCCGGGAGCAGCTGTAGGGCTCGGCCGTGCTGCGGCGGGGGTGTCTCGGAGCTGTCCGAGCAGCCCCCTGCGGGTGCCGGCTTCGAGGGCAGGCCGGGGGGTGCTAGGGACCAGCCCGAGCTGTCCTGGGTGTGAGCGTCCACCTGGAGCTGGAGAGCTTGTTCCAGCTGCTCCCCTCCTGGCGCCCGGCTCTGCCCGTCTAGCAGGCGAGATGGATGTGACCCTTGCCAGGCCCAGCTCGTGCCCCTTAACACCGCTGCAGGGGGAGCGGGACGCGGTTGAGCGGGGTTCCCTGCGGGTTTGCATCTCGTGCCTGGAAAGCCCTGCCAGGGCGGCTCTTCCACGCCCTGGCTATCTCTTATCTACAGGCAGTGGCGTCTAGCATCAGGGCTTTCAGGCGCGGGTTCGTCAGACCTCCGAGATGGTTCAGATTGGGGCAGAGACTGAGCAAAGTGATGCCTTGAAGTCCTTTCCGGTCCTATTCGACATAGTCACAACAGCGTAAGACCTAGCGTAGCTGTGTTCGTGCCGGTTTCCCGTGCCGTGACCGTCCCCTTGTCCCTGCCTACGGCACAGACATTTATCCAGCTTTGTATGCTGAAGTCGTGGCAGATGCAAGCCAGCTTTGCTGGTGTTTGTCTTGGTCAGAAGAAAATCAGTCAGTTGGATTTTGGCTCCTAGTTTTTAAAAAGCCTGGGCATCGATAGGCCCCTGCTATAAGTAATAAATGCTGAAACTTTTCTTTCAAGACCCTTTTAACGAGAGAGAAGCCAGGCGCCTGGAGACCCTTGTTCACATAGAGCGCGGGTCTGCAGCAGACGTGGGGAAGTCAATGAAGCTTGGAGTAGTGTTGAATGCACCGGGATGACAGAACAAAATACAGCCCCATGGTTTGCCTTGCTTGGCGTCACAGCTGTGCGGGCCCTGGTGCTGCAAGTGGAGCTAAGCAAAGAGATGGCAACCCGGACCAGGAACCGGGCAGCTTTTGTGGGGCTCGGTCAGGATGAGGCCTGCTTGCGACTGCGGGGAGGGTGGAACGTGCTTCTGGGGTTTGCGAGTTGTTTTGGTCTTCACAGCACCAGCGAGAGAGCTTTGCCCCCAAAACGAGGGCTGCCCTTGTAACAATGGCATCTTCCTGTGCTGATCGGGCCAGCTGTGCCAGTGTGATGGGAGCCTTGATTGCTGTTGCAATGAATATGTGCGCTATGTTCCCACCCCAAGCAACACACCTCTATAAAACCCAACTTTGACAGAGCTGAAATTGCTTTTGGGAAGGGAAATGACTGTGCATTATGGACTGTTTCTCTACTTCATTACGGGTTTCGGTTCTTCTCAGTCTTGGGCACTGTTTTGCATGTGAGCACTGAGATGTCTTCATTAGTTGCCTGGGGTTTCATAGGCACAGTTAAGGTTGTTGGTTGTTTTGTTTTCTTTTTTCAAATGTGTGACTACTGTTATGATAAAGGATGAGCTCATTGCTTTGTTCGAAGCAGACTGGGTGAATGTACTTGGAGAAAATGATCTCTAGCAGCTGCTGGCTTGGCTTGGCTTGGCTTGGCTTGGCTTGGCTTGGAGGTTCACTGCAAGGGATTGGCCTTACAAGCTTTGGGGCAGAGGACTTGATTGTGCCAGCTAGGACCAGCTCTGATGCTGAAAGTCCCGTACAGACGCCCCATCTGCTGTTTAGCCAGTGCAGCTCAACCCCTGGCTGTTCCAGCTGTGCATCCAGCTGTGGCCTAGCCAGCGCATCTCGGTGCTGGGGGGCAGCCCTGCAGTCCCAGCCAGGCATGTCAGCAAATGCATTTCAGCCCTGCAGGACTGCGATGCTTCCTCTTCCGGACCGGGGGCAGTGAGGGATGCCAAACCATGCGCCGGCTTTGAGATGCGGAGCTAGCAGAAAGCGTCGTGTCCGTATCCGTCCTGCGCCTTACCTCGGGTGGGTCATTTTGCATCACTGGGAAGCACGATAAGCCCAGCAGGCATTGATGGATGGGTGCGACCAGGCCACCGAGGGGAAAGGGAATTGCCTGGGAGTCATCATCATCACTCTTGTTTTCTGTAAGAATGACGAATTTTCTGTGTGACCTCCCGCCTGAATGGTCCTAATTAGGAGCAAAGCCTGGGGGCCTGGGAAGAAGTTTTAATTCGGGAAACCGAGCGGCCTGTGCCCTTAACAATGCTGTCTGCGGACGCCGGAGCAAGTACGTCAGGTCACGCAGGGCTAGCAGAGCTGAGGTGCTGGAGAGCAGATCTGCAAGGAAAGAAACCCGCAGCATGTTCTCTTATCGGACATGCAGGGCCCGGCCGCGGGCGTGTGCCATCTGCCCCATGTCTGTTGCCAAGAGGGAAGAGAGCCCTTTGGCAAGCATCGGTCATCCTGGAGAGGGCACGTGCCACCGTGCAGGGGTTGCAGGGCCTTGCATGGCTGGTGGCCCCATCCCTGGGCTAAGGTATGGGCAAGGTCTGCACATTTCTGGGTGATTAAACACCCGTGTGGCTGTTACCTGACCTTCCCCTGTGGGGCTTATTGGGCACACTGCTCCTCCCGGCAGGTTGCAGGGGGAGCTGGGTCAGGCGATAAATCTGCTCCCCTCTTCCTCCTTGCCCGGCCCCTGAGGGACACCCACCCCTTGGCAGAAAGGAAAGAGTTTCTTCTCCCCAACATCTGTGAAATGGGCTCTTTCTCTACGGCATTCATTAAAAGGCTAAGCAGGAAGCTTGCATCCGAGGTGGGAGCACAGCCCAGTTCTTCTACTTTGCTGCTCTGGGCCTTTACGCACCCTGCCTTCCTCTCGTGGGGTCTTTGCTTGTGAGAACAGCCCAGGTTGCACAATCGGGGGCAGATGCATGTTGTGTTGCAGTGGAAAAACCCTCAGGCCCTTGACCTTCGGGCTGCTCCCTGAGCCCCCCTCCGTGGGGACTTCCCTGACCCGATGCCACGGCATCTGGGTTCCCGCGCACGGATGCTGCTTTTAGGCAAGAGCCAACCGGGGTTATGCCTTATCAGGCCTCAGGCAGGAAGTTTGTCTTTCCCACAAGCAGTAAGGGAAGCTGCTGCTTCCAGCTGCTCAGCTCCCCGCCCCAGGGGTGCTCGGTAGGGTGCATCTCATTGCCGGAGCATCTGCCCCTGTGTTAGCCTCAGCCCCCCTGCATGTGCAGGCGATGGAGGAAGCCCAGAGGGCCACAGACGGGGTCGCTGGGCTAACATCTGGCTGCTAACACGGTTTGCTAACACTATGCCGGCGCAGTCTGCAAGGAGCTGCCGGGATTGCAACCCACCCGACCCCACGGGGTTGCAGCCCGATCACAGCCATGACCTCTGCAAGAGGGAAGTGTGTTATAGCAAGGGGGTCACGTGCGCTCAGCATGGCAGGAAGCGCGCTCCAGCAAGGGGATGGTTGTGAGCCTCCGTCGTAGCATCGGCTGCTGCCCTTAAAGCTCCAGCTCTGTTCCCAGCCGCTCTCCAAGTCAGGACGATTTTTCCCTGGGGTTCGGATCTGGTCAATGGGCAACTTGCCGTTCCTTCCCCATCCATCCTATGGGGCAGCTGGTGAGGTTTTTGCTGGGTTCGGTGACCTGCCAGGAGCTTTTCCAAGCCCGATATTCCCTGGGCTATGCTGCCTCCGCTCCCATGCCCTGCCGTGAGCCCTTGCTGCGATCAAGTCTCAAACGTGCTTGTCCCGCCTGGACCCTGGTCTGAGAGGAGCGTGCTAATCCCTGCCAGGGTGTTACGTAACACCCTGCTTTGGGGATAAGCTACTTGAGAGCACCCTTCCCGGGGGCCAGCAGCTGGCCAGTTAAATCCCTCCCAAGAGGGCAAGTTTCCCATGTGCCCGCTGATCTGGGCAAGGGCTGGCAGCGTCGGGTTCTCAGTTGAGTCCAGAAAGGCTTGCAGGGGGGCGAGGTAGTCCAGAAAGGCCCCCCGCTCCCTTTGCAGAGAGGTTTAGGGGAATTAGGCACCCAGGTCTTGTGGAACGGTGCCTGCCCAAGGCATGAGTGGTGCTCGGGATGTGGCATGAAGTCCTGTGCACGTTGCAAAACAGCGAGGCAGGGGTTGCATGCTTGAGCCTGGCGTGCGCAGCGGGATGCCCTGTGCAGGTGCCATCCATGGGCATCTCTCTGGCCTTTTCCTTAGGAAACGGCTGTTTTCCCGTCTGATTCCTCCCCAAGCAATGCCCAGCAGAGGGTGCCCTGCTACCAAAGTGGACAGGCCCTTTCGTCCTCTGCCTCGATTTGCCTGGGCGAAGAAGACACCTCGGCCCAAAGCCCCAGCAAGTGTTGGCTCTCGCGGGTGGAAGGGCTTGATTTTAATCTGAGCCTTGTGACCTGAAAGAAGCAGGACTGTATAAGGTCCCCGACAAGTCCTGGCCACTTTGCTGGTCCTGGCATGGGGTAGGAAAGCCATGGTCCCCGCTCCTGATTGAGACTGGGTGTTGATGGCTGAATGTGAGCTCTCCCTACAGCGTGCATGGGCTGGGATTGTTTTTTTTTCCCCCCTGTTATTATAAGTATTTTTCTTGCAAAAGAGGCTTCTCGGCCAGAACGGGTTTGAACACCGTTAGGAGCAAAGCACAGACCTTTGCCACGCAAAGTAAAAAAAGCATTAACTCCATGAGCTGGTAGCAGTAGTAGGCTATTCTCTTCTATTTCAGCCCGCTGCTGGCTAACAGGCATTGTGCAAGGGTTGCGTGTGCATGCCCTGTGTATGCTCACTCCTAATTACAGCGTTGGTAGGACAACAGGACACCGTAATTAGGAGGCTGACAAAAAGCAGCTTGCAGGGGCTGACCCCTGTATTGTGTCCAGGGGCTGAAGCAGTTTTCAGGGCCACCTAGGACAGGCTGCTGCTACAACCAGGCAATTTGCTGCTGGAAAATGCTTGAGGATCCTGAAAGAGGTTGCTTGGGGTCAGCTGGTCACTGAGTAACAGGCAGGTAGATTTGTGTGGTAGGAAATAATCCCGCGTGGGCAGGTCAGTGCAATAGAGCTCTGCCTCCAAGGGCCCTGCTACATGGTCAAATACAGCTGGGTAGAAACCCCCCGTAGAGTCGTTCCTCATTTTCAGGCACTAAGTGTACAGCTGGTTGCCTCTTTACATAGCTCGGTGGTCATTTTTTATCGCGTGATAGTTACTTCGCCCGTGAGACAGGTCTGAATGTATGGCGCGATTCACCCATTAATTGTGTGCTACTTACATTGAGACCAGTCGTGCATGTGAAGTATTGCGTGATTGACCAGGCCGTTGCGTGATGTACATAACGTGTAGCAGTGCAACCCACCAAGACCCTGCGAGGCACCCAGGGTGTCTAGGGCGGGTAGAGGCGCTCCACGACTGGCAGCTAGGGCTCGCCCAGACCCCCCATTACGTTTGCACCTTGCAGATCAATGCCTGCCCCATGCTCTGCTCCTCTGGTGCTAAGGCTGGGCTGGGGATGCATATCTGATATCCCTGCGTCCGTTCGCTGAGACTGAAAGAGATTCTTATCCGCAGCCGCAGATGAGTTGCTGGCGCAAAGAGATTGCTGATGTGGAAGGAGGATGCTTCCCGTGTTGATGTAGTAGGTGTGGCTGCTCTGCTCCATGTCAAACTGGTTGCGCCGGCTCCCGGCACCGGCCAGATCCTCCCCCTGGCACGGCGTGTTACGTGGACACGTCCGCTCTCGGGCAGGTTGCAAAGTCTCCGGGGTGAGCCGGGACAGGAGGAGATTCGCCTCGCCCTGTTCTGAGCCAGGTGAGAGCTGCCAGCCCCCGGCAGACGATTTCCCGAACCTGCAGCCCGGGTGGAGGCAGGGCAGGTGCCGTCGTGCTAGGGCGGCTGGTCACAAGATAAGAACCACGTATCTTTGGGGGGGCCGTACACCCCCATTCCTACTGCCGCAAACCCCTGGTAGGCAGCATAAAAAAGCACCTGGGTGACCCTGCAGCTGCGCCATGACCCCTCCAGCGCTGCGATTTTCCTGTTTCTTCCTTTTCCTCCATCCACGCTTCACTTCTGCGTTCCCATTCCTTGCTCTCGTGGACTCTGGAGCGTCTCCGCGTCCTCCCGTGTTCGGGAAGCACGGTCCTAGCAATGTCGGCATTACCTGCCTGCGGCTTTGGTCAACCGGCTGTCTCAGCTGTGTCAAAAGGAGAGATCACGGACGGGAAATAAGAATCCGGACGTCATACCAGGATTTCTTTTGTGGCTAAAACCGGGTTGTTAAAGCGGAAGATGTTAACGCTGTGCCCTGCTTTTTGCTATTTATACTGCCTGGCCCAGTTTGGAGAGATCCCGCAGGCAAGTAAAGCAGTTTTATGTTCTTCTGGGGGACTTTCTCATCCGTTTCCCTCGCTCTTTCGCCCTGCCTGACGCTGAGCTGCCGCGCTGGGGTTCAAACATGCCGGGGGATATCTGTTTAAAACAAGCTCTCTTTACATCTGTCTTTTCTTCCCGCCTGGCTTAAACGAACAGCTGCATTTTTGCCGTCGGTCTTAAATTCTGTCTCCCCGGCCTTTGGGGCATGTCTGACCTGCCAAAAATCCTTTTCTTTTCAATAACTGAACCAATACATCCCGCGGGATGAAGCGGATTACTGACCAGCCTGGAATGTGGAGTTAATCCCACCACCAGCCAGGTGTCCTGCAGACTTTCTGGGCTTCGATAGTCTCTGTTTCATGCAAACGGTTGCTCAGACTTGTTCCCTGCGAAGCTGGAAAACACCCAGCGTTCGACACTTGTAGTCGAACGCTGGGAATGCAGAAGGCACCGCACGGCGCCAGGAAAGCAGCCAGCTGGTGGAGGGAGGCAGGACCTCCCCTTTGCTCCTTCCCAGTGCTCTCGTGGCACTGGGCGCTGGTCTTGCTTCCCTTTAGCGGGGCAGAATTACACATCCTTAAGCCCGAGCCTTGGAGAACTATAGTAATAGTGGCCGAAGGTGGCGTCAGTCATTTATCAGCTGCCCTGGGGGGAGTCCCGGGCCGGAGGAGACTTCCAGGCTCTTTTTCAGTGGGGTGTGCGAGGCCTGGCTGCATTGGGGTTGCAGAAGAGAACAGGAGGGACACCCCTATGTCTGCCCACGTGGGATGTACAAATGAGTTCACCATTTGAGAGAGGGGTCTCGACACCTTTCCTGCTCCCGCCGGGCACCCCAGGCAGTGTCGGCACACAAAGCTGGCAGCGGACTTCACCGTCGTGACCCCACTGACCGCAACGGAGGCTGCGAGGGTCAAACCTGTTTGCTGTGATGTTTTATAACCCCGGTGGTTACCTTGCCTTTGCTGTGTTAAGCCCTGAAGGCTGGGCTGAGACCTTTACTTACGCTGGCTGTCACCTTCTTCTGCAGGTAGTGCACCCTGCAGTTGTGCTAGTCACGGTGTGGACAGACATTAGAGATACTCTGGCATTGAAGCACAGGTAGACAGTGCCACCAGCGATAGAGATCTAGCACAGCCGTTGTCAGTGTGACCCATTCAGGGTACAAGTTGCTGTGATTTATCTCCCGTCTTTTGCTTGAGGAGCATGCAGAGGTAGCAGTTGGGCCCCAGCGCTGGTGCACAAACCACCTCTCCCTTTTAAAGCAATGGCAAGTTACATCCACCTATAGCTGCAGCATATCGGGAGGTGGCCCTTGGTTTGCTTCTCTTTCTGATTGCGGCCACTTCCTGCTCCGGCTTGATCCCAGTCTTGTCCTGCATCGAGGCTCTGGCACCAGTAAAGTAAATAAGACTTTGCCCCACGTAAGCACCTGGTTGATGTTTGCTTGCTTCCTCCTGCCTTGCTGGAGCTTTCCCTGCTGCAAAATTGCCCAGGTGTTGCCATCCTCTGCCTGTTGGGATTTTCTGCCAGCTCCAGCTCACATCAGTGAGAAGCGGCTGGGTGTCTGTGCTGGCTATTCAAGGCCTCTCTGTCCTCCCTGTGCAGGTAGGTCTTTAGTTGAGACTAATTTTGCAGGGCTGGGCTCTGTGTGGGGAAGGATCTGAGCAGGGAAAGACCAGCTGGGCCGGTGGCTAATTGCAGTAATGATACCAGGTGTCCTAATAAATGCCAAGCGGAGGTGGGAATCTCCCCTCCGAGCAGGTCAGCACACCTGGAAATGCAACACGGATCTATACCAAGGCTGGATTTAGTGTCAAAGCAGGGTGGAAGGGACCTCAGGAGATCATCAAGACCAGTCCCATGCCCCAAGACAGGATTGACTCTGCCCCAACCATTCCAGGCAGCAAGATGTCCAGTTTGCTCCCACGATAGGCACTACATCCCTGTCCCTGTCCCAATCCATCCTGGCTGTGCTCGGCTGTCCTTATGGCTCGGTTCAATGTCAGGACGTTTTCCGTGTTGCCATTTCAGCCATCCTTTCTTGTCGTGTCCCCGGCGAAGGCAGAGAGCAGTTTATTCCAACCTTCCTGTTTACAGGGGCTTGTTCTGCATGTGAAAGTCATCTCCTCTCTGTCTTCTCTCTAAATTAAGCAAACTGGCTCTTTCGGTCTCTCCTTGGATGTAACGTCCTCTAGTGAACGTGGGTTAACCCCCTCGCCATGCAGACTGGGGAGGTAAAGTCTCCCCCAAGCTGCTTCTGCATCTGTCCGTGGGCAGCAGGGGACGTCCGTGTTTCCTGCTCGTTTGTCCCCTGTCCTCTAAGGACGAGGATGGCAGCAGCGGTGGGTTTGGGTTTCACGACCCTTTGTCTTGTAGGGACTTGGATGGATGCTGCTGGCTCATTTTAGGCAGGGCCTCCCAATGCCCGTCTGCTGGGATTTGCTGCTGTGACCTAATGCCAGACTTGAACTGGGGATTTGGGGGCCACGGTCGGCCCTGGTGTAAAGTAGCACAAGTCTCTTGCCTCGGGTGGAACAGCAGCTGCTGCCGTCGGGGTGCACCAGGGTCCCCGGGAGCACAGGCAGACTTGAGGCTTACAGCACTTGAATGCGCTCTAAGAAGCAAGCAGACAGATGACACCGCTCCGCAATGCCACGGGTCAGCCCAAACGGTGCAAAAAGTGACTCTGAAGGAGACGGGTAGCTGCAAAATGCTGCATGGTGAGGCTTGGGCTTGGAGGCCAGCGTACCTCCACACACAACTGAAGCACTGCCGATTCAAAGTGTTTCCAAGAAGGCAGGTAAGGTTCTTTGGGTCGATGTGATATCTTTTATTAGACCAGCTAAACACTTGGAAAAGTTGTTCTTTGCAAGCTTTCAGGCACAAACATCCTTCTTCAGGCCTAGGGAGAGTCTGCTGGTGTGCGCGCGCTCTCCTGGGTGGAATAGAAAGAGTTTGAAGCGTGCACCCTCAGCCAGCAAGGCCCCGTGGCCGTTAGGAAACCAGTCGAGCCACACACAATCCCTTTTTGCTGCTTGTATTATATATCTGCAGAAAGCAGAGGAGACATCGTGGGATCTTGCGTCCTGAAGGATCCCAAAGCCCTGCATAAGCCGCAGCCACACACCCCACGGAGGGGGGCAGCTGCTTTGGGATGAGAGTCCCTTGGGAACAGCTTGACCGGGGGGAAAAAGCGTCTTTGGGGAGAGCTCTGGTGTCCTGCCCGGAGCGAATGACCTCCGGGTGCCGGCGGGCCGGGTTGCAGCGTGCTTGGCGGCACTGCACCTCCCAGCCGCCCCCTGGGGGCTGTGGGAGCCTCCCCGGCTCCGTGCCGCACGCATGGATCAGGTCCCTGCACTCGAGTCTGGGCAGACTGCCATGCGACAGCCGATCGGCCTGATGTCTGGGATTAATCCGTGGCTGCCGTCAGCTCTAGCTCTGCCTCTCCCTCTCGAAATCATCTCCCACATCAGACAGGCCTCGTCTCGTCCTCTGCTGCCTTCTCCCTGGGCTCTGTCGCCTCCTTGCCTGGATCTCCACTTACACCCATTGCGCTTTGTCTCCCCAAGGTGACGGTCCCTGGGACCAGCCGCCTCCTGCACCAAGGCAAGCCCTGCTTAAGTCACGGGAGACCCATCTGAGCTGCACGGGGGCAGCTTTTCTCCGTTCGGAGCCAGCCTAAACCACACCAGTGCGTGCAGCGGCTTTGCTGGTCTGTGCTTGGAGGAGGTTTTCTCTGATTCTGCCTGTAATCAGAGTGGACCCCAGCACTGACCATCTGTCCCTCTGTGCACTGGCTTCCATATAGCACCGTCCTAGCATGATCTTTGAATTGCCTCTTGTGATCTCAGGGACACACTGCAGGAGACTCTTTGGGTTTTAAACACCTTGGAAACAGTCCATGAGCAAGCCGGGGGGAAAAAATGCAGTTGTACCAGTCTGACCGTGCCAGGGGCATATTGTAACCTGTTGTTTTAAGAGCAGTGAAGATCATTTCCTGGATTTCCAGGTTATTTCGGTGAAAGGCAGAAGTGGGTAGGGCAGGGACAGTAGGAGGAAGCCGGTGGGTGAAAGGACCCTGGTTGAACTGTTGAATTCCTTGGGGACTCAGCAAAACCATGGTGAGTATAAAGGCCTGCTAGAGCCAACGCCGCATCTCTCTGCTGATGTGGCATCCACTGCGCTGGAGTCTCCCTGCCCTTGCTGCTATATCATCAGGACCTGAGGGTCAGGGCTTGGTCCTGCTCTGCAAAGCAGCAGCAGATGCTGAGGGGGTCACGGCTTCATCACCTTGGGGTGGGAGCCTCGCCGGGTCACACACCTGGATGCAAAGGCAAAGTTGGATGCCAAGGCGCGCCTGGGTGCAAAGTTCTGCTCTGACGCCCTTGTTCGCGGACAGATTCAGCAAGCCTCTTGCATGCTTGGTTGCCCCCATCGGTATAAGCTTGCCTCCTTCCTGGGGCATCGTGCAATGGTCAGCGCTCCTGGGCAGAGTGGCGCGTGGGTGCAAACTGCCAGAGCTTTGAAGGCAAATAGGCCTTTAGTCAGGACTTCTGCCAGAGACGGTGCTACCTTGTCCAAGCTGAGGTTGGGTTTTTCCCAAGGGACATCCAGCCTCGTAGGGCTGGGGAGATAAACCCCGTGTAGCTCACAATGCAGCATCGAGCTAACATCTGGTATCGGGCTGTCCCACAGGGGTTGGTGTGGCCCGTTAACATGGTGTGACCATCTTTGTCCTTCGGTCTGTGGCCAAACTGTGCTAAGGGGCGCTGCACGAGTCCTCGCGCAACTGGCCTTGCAGTCATGGGCTGCAGTGACTGGTCTGAGTCCTCCACGTGGTTGGCAGGATCCCAGATGCAGCTGTTGGGATCTGCCTCCTGCTGTGGGAGGTTAAAATGTGGGGGACAACCAGGCCGGGAAGTAATGTGGCGATCTTTGCTTTTGCAGATAGCAGCAGGCTGATGAGAAACCAGCAACCAGGCTACGGGACACTACTGCAAGTCCCGGATAAACCCTGCATGGTACGTGCGAGGGTCCCCTGGGGGGACGGGGCAGGAGATGCTGGAAATCAAGGAAATGCGGGGCTGGGAGACGAGCACCGTTGCACCGTTCTCACCAGGGAGAGGGGACGTCTGCCGGTTTCATAGATTTCATAGACGTTCGGGCTGGAAGGGACCTCAGAAGATTGATCCAGCCCCCTGCCCCAGGTGCGGGGAGTCAGCTGGGGTCATAGGATCCCAGCAAGAAAAACATCCAGGTGTCTTTTGAAGGCGTTCAGGGGTTCGTGGTGTCTGATGGGCTCTGAGCAGGGCGAGCCAGGGTCAGGTTCAGAGGGGTTGGTAATACAACCTTGGAGGTTGCTGGATGGCACGATGAACGGTGCATGGGGAGACGTGCATAACAGCTGGCGTCTAAGTCGTCCTTGCCAGTGAGACTTGAACACCAAGCAGACACGGGGTTTGCTCCAATACCCCCGTTGACATCGGCAGGGGCTGGACCTGGCCCGTGCAGCCTCGGGTGTTCAGCTCGGCAGGCTCCGAGGCTGCGCTCGTGGGTGGGCAGGTCGGTGCTGCTCACGGGGCTGCGCTGTCCTCCATGCCTGCTTTCCAGGAAGTCAGCGGGTACCAGAGCAGAACATGGAAAGTCGTCCTGTGCCACCTCTTCTCCGTGCTGACGGCTGGGCTCCTCCTGATCGTCTTCCACTGGAAGCCGAGCCTCGAAGTCCGAGCGAAGTGCAGGCCTTGCCCCCTTAGCCAAGCCGATTGGGTCATAATCCAGGTGAGGAGATGTGGGTGGTAAGAGGTTCATCTCATGGTGAAGACATGGGCTTGGCTTACAGCGGGGGTGAGGATGCTCCGCTTTCCCCCACCCCTGCCCGGCCTATTTTGATGATGCTCTTTGGGGCAGAAGCCGCCTCGTACAGCACCTAGCACAGTGGGGTCCTTATCTCCACCGGGGCGAGTACTACGAGCTGGCCCAGAGTGGAAGGGGTTGCTCCCGTGAGAGGACCTACCAGCCCCTCCATCTGCCTGACTCCCCCAGCACAAGCAAAGCAGTGGAAGTTAAATCACGTAGTCCTAAAATGCTAAGCCGATGGTTTTTGGAGCAACGTGCAGGGCTTCCTCGTTCTCCTCTCACCTTTCTATCCTGCTGCCAAGAGCCTGGTATCTCCCTCTCCCTCCCCACCATCTTTCTGCAATAGCAAAAGCAGGAGCTTGGAGATCAGGACCGCTGAGTTTTGCTACTGGTTCATTGGCACACCTGGAGCAAGGCATTGAAGCCCCCTGTGAGAGCAGCTCCCCCCTTGATCATTGCAGTAGATACAATACAAAGCACAGAGCAAATGGTGAAAAGCAGCAGATAAAGCTGGGCCCTATTCGCTGACCTTTCAGGGGGCCTCAGAACTCTGTTGTGCCCAGAGAAAAGGCTTTAAAGTCCCAAATGATGGTGTTTTGAGTAAGATTTTCATTGGCAGGTCCTGCGGAGACGTGAGACCCTGAATCCCATCTGGGCCCAGAATAGGTCAGGAAGTTAGGCCCTTCGACATCTCCGGTTATCATTGATCCCAGGGGTCCCTTCTGGCTTTATGGTGCATGACTATGGTGCACAATCATTTACCATAGTAAGCATCCTACAGAGAAGCTAAGTGACTTGCCCAAGGTTACCTAGTGAGGCTGTGGTAGGGCGCAGAAACCTATACCACCAGTGAGCAGTGGCAATCCTCCCTTTCAGGACCGGTTTGGACAGTGCTTCACCACGCGGGTGCAGACGGAGGAGATCGGGGACACCTGGGAAGCCGGGCTCCTGCGCTACAGACAAAGGTACCTTTTGTCCGCTTTGGAGGCTGGGGGGAGCTCCGGCCCAGGCGCTGGTGCCTGCTGCTGCAAGGTCCGTGTCCCATCACAGTGCTCTTGGAGCAGTACAGGAGAGCAGGGTCGCTCCGTCTCTGCCCCTGGATGAAGCAGGGTAACATTGCAAGGGCTTTGCTACGCATGCATCACTGCAGAAGCAAGTGCAGCTACTGGGTCAGAGCAGCAGCTTGCCTGCATATTGGATGGCACCAACTAAGTCAGTCTGTGCCCTAGGACTTGCTCCTTGCTGGCTGTATTTCTTGCCTTTCACATGTGCTCCCTGGGCTTTGCTAGGAGAGAAAGGGATGCCGAAGGTCCCAATGGGTGCGGTGGAGTGAGTGCATCCCCCTTCACCGCCAGTGTTCACCATGGGGAGCTCCAGTCTCACCCATGCCAACGCTTGTGCAGCGGACTGATAGATGCTTGCACAGTGGGCTAAACACACAAAGTTTGCCCTCTGCCACCTCCGCACGCCCCTTTTCACCATCCTGGATCCGTTCCAGTCGAGGGCTTTGCCCTTTCTTTGGCAATGGAATAAAACTGGGAGGTGCGGAGAAGCGCAGCACTCGATCACTCCCAACCCTGGGGCTTCGGTTCCACCTCCCAGGCCCTGAGTTTTGCTCTGGGCTTTGGAGTTGGAGCTATTTGTCCTGCAGAGAACAAGGAGCTTTGCTCTAAAGAGGTGCTTGGATTTCCCCACCTGTTTCTACCTCCCGGCTAAGAGATGCCCCACACTTGGTTACAATTCCTTTACAAAATGATCAATTATCTGGCAATAGCAATTCATTTTATCTTACCTTCCTACCAGAGCGTCCACATTTAAATGTCACTAGGTCTCCCTTGGGCTCTGCTCTTCATCATGTAAATCCAACTCTATTTTACAGTTGTTTTTCAGCAAGGGAGGGAGACTCGTGCTCTGACTAGCTGCAGAAGTAATTCAGTTGTGATCTGCCAGCGATTTCCATCCTATTATTAAATCCAGCCTGCCCGTTTGCAACTGGAAAACTGTTTGCCTTCTCTGAGGGGAAAAGCATGGGTGTTAGGATATTAAAGAGGCACAGTGAAAGCCTTCCAGTTGTAAAAATGAGAGGTTATTTATCACTGACTTGGATGGTGGGAATAGGTAGGAGCCCAGGTTATGGGCCCCTTTGTGCCAGGACCTGTCCAGAAGTAGCTGGAAATATTAGAGCAGCCCCTGCGTCTATCCACCAGCTTTTGTCAAGCGATCACATTTGCTGCTCTGGAAAATGCTTTTGTTTCTCTATGAAAAATCCATACAAGTAGCAAGAGGACCTGGTAAAGCTCCAGGTAAACTAAGAAAAGAAATCTTTTTTTTCCCCCTTGATCTTTCAATTATAGCGAGCGTCAAGGGGTGGGGTAAGAGGTTGCCGTTAATTATACATTGAAACTTTTTAGAGAAGAAGCAACCTTAATTTTTTCCTAACAATCTACCTCTTCAGAGAATTTCATAGCAGCGAGGTCTCCCCTGCCCCATGATGGCTCTGGGGACGCTCTGTGCATAGCTGGGAAAGACCACGTGCTCTTACCGGTTACACTAGTTCAGCCATGGGGTTTTCTCTGGGGTGAAGAAGTTCTCCGATGAACTATATGAGGCATGTGCCGTTGGCGTGAGATGTGCCCGAATGGGGTTACAGGTAGCATCAGCTTTTGAAGCTCTCCAGGTCCCCAGACCCATGGGATACCAGAGGGCATTAGGTAAGGCAGCATCTGGGGATAGTGCCAGGGCTGCTGACATACCGGTGTTGTGTTTTCCTTCCCGAATAGCCTGGAGCAGCATCCTGGGACCAGACCCGACGATGGGAGAGCCAGCGTTGCGGTGGGCGTGACGGGTGAGGACGATGGCAGGGACACCATCCAGCTCCACAAGAAGGAGGAGGTAACTTCTCGCCCTCTGCTCCCACCCAAGTCCTGTCCTTGGGATCCGTGCACCCTCCTCCTCCTTCTCCTCCTCCGCAAAGGGCTGCCGAGCTTCGGGCCGACCCAGACCTGCTCTGACTTTGCGCCTCTCTCTGTGCTTAGAAGAACATCCTGCGCTACTACCTCTTCGAAGGGTCGCGCTACGTCTGGCTGGAAAGGCAGCAGGCCTACTGCAAGGTCAGGTAAGGCTGTTGTCCATGGAGGAGCTGTTTCCCACCCGGCGATGGGCGCGTGTGTCCGTCGGCTCCAATGGGACTGGATGTGCTGAGCAACAAGGTGCTTTTCTTAGTCCTGTTTTAAAGAACAAGAAGTTCTCAAGCTCCGGCTGGGAATAACCAGGGGCGTTCCCCAGCTTGTGTTGTGTGGGGGATTGGCCCCCTGTGGCCATAGGGGCTAGGCTGCTTCTCTTCAAAGACCGCGCCATGACATTGGAAACCGCCTGCCTCCAAGCAGTCTTCTGTTTTGTTCCCGCCCCGGGGAGGGCACTAGACCCAGAGTTTGGAAGCCAGATCAACTTGCCTCCTCCCTCGAGGAAGCCCTGTGATCGGTGCTTTCTGAGCTGTGAACTTTCAGGAGACTTTTTTTTTCCCCCCTCTCCATGTTGTGGGCAGGGTGTACCCAGAAGCTGACTGCAGACAGAGCGACTGTGGCAGCACCCATCGCAGCTTCGCCCTTGTGATTTGAAATGGGATATCTCGTGATGAGATGGAAATCCAAAGCAAATGGGGAGAAAAGCAGGAGGGGGGTGGGGGAAGTGATGGGCTTTAATCTATTTTTAGCTCTTAGCCTGGTTCAAAAGAATCAGAAGGAGAAATTCAACCATTCAGTCTTGCTAGAGATGCACTGTGCGTGTAGGAACATGGGCTGAGCAGTCCGGACATTGCTGTCGACATCCCTGCTCATACACTGAGCTATGAACATACTTTTTAATCTGCTTCCAAAGGGAGGAGAGAGCTGGCACTGAGGTGCGTGTCTCAACTGTTGGGCTGTAACTGTGGCCTCTGCCTGATCCTGGAGCTGTACAAGAGGGATGGATCGCTCCGGTTCTGCCCCAGAATGAGGCAGGGTGAACATTGCAATGATTTTGTTGCATTTGTATTGCGGCAGAATCGGGCTGCAGGAACAGTTGCATTATAACTGCTTATTGGCCTCATTGGATGTGGATGCTATTGTAACATATGGCTATACCCTTCACTGGGTTTTGTTATCGTGTTATAGGATTGCTGCCGTGCATAAAAGTTAGCAAGGTGAATCAGAGGCTCCCCGATGGGTTCTTCTCCCCTTGGAATTTCCTGGCGTCTTAACATTTGATCTTGCAATCTTGACAACTCGCTCATCTTGAGCAATTAACTTCAGCCCCAATTACCTGCGCATCCGCTAGGTCACATCAATGGCTCGATGTTAGCGGGCACTATTTCAGTGTTGCTGTCATGTGGAAGTCCATTAAGAATTTGCGTGTGTGTGTGTGTGTGTGTGTGTGTGTGTGTGTGTGTGTACATACAGTGGTACATGCATCACTTGAGTACATGATGCAGTATTGTATACATGCCTATTAGATCTTATAGCAAGGGGCTTGACAGTTCAGACAGCCTTCATATAACTGATAAGCAGCGTGCAATGACACCACATTGCATTATTTGGATGCTTCAGAAAGGACAAGGATAAATGTACCTTTGTGATGAAAGCCACTTGAGATACTAGCCAGAGCGTTGCTCACCTGGATGTGTTTTTGTTGTGCGTGTGTTTTCAGCATCTTGGATGAGGGGTGGACCTGCGCAGACATCCATCTCTCCCAGGCTGGGCTCACACAGCAAGATCACAGCACAAAGTAGGTGCATGCTGGCTCGGGGACCTGTGTAGCAGCAGCTGAGGCCTTTTCAGGGAGCCGGTGGGCTCTGGGCTGGCAGCGCCTATGCTAGGCCCTGCTTTTACCTGTCGGTCTCCTGCTAAGGTCTGGGCGCTGCGTTGGGCTGTTCAAGAAGAAAGCCTGAAACGCAGCATCCTTACCTCGGTCCTCTGGCTTCTGCTGTGTTTTCTCCTCAGGAGAAAGATCTACGGGCCGAACCTAATCAACGTGCCGGTCAAATCCTACCTCCGGCTGCTGGTGGATGAGGTACAGCTCTGCCAGGTGGCTCACCTGCTGCCCTCCTGCTTTCTCCAGGCTTGGCAAGAACAGGGCTCAGCTAAGTCTGGAAGAACTGGGCAGGACTTTAAGCTCTGCTAAGTATGTGCCCAGGAAGAGGGACCTCATAGGCAACAGGAGACGTGACTTTGAGTCTCTTCTCAGCCCTGCTGTTGTGTGACATGGGGCAAGATACCTCCCTTTGGTCCCTCCTTCCTTCTGCGTGCCTTGGCTTGGCCCCGAAGAGCTTATAAACGCTGTTCTTCACTGCACCCTTATAGCGCACCTAGCACACCAGATCTCAGGTGGGGCCTTGAAGTGCAGCACTCATGCGAAGGCATGTAACGTGAATGTCAGAAGGACGAGCTGTTGGCCCTCTAGTATCTTCAGCATCCACGGCCAGGGCCATTGAGCCATTGATAGGGCTGATACAGTTGAAATAGGTCTGAGACTGGGCTGTGTGTCCATTGCTTTAGCAATATGGAGCCTTGTCCCAGCTGTTTCCTCCCCCGAGATCAGCACAGCAAGAAGAAGCAGCCTTCAGCCGAGGCAGCTTGGACAAACCCAGTGGTTGTGGGAGGATAGGGCAAGGGGGAGAAGTTAGATCCAAGGCGGCTGGGTGATGGAGGGCAGAGCTGGGCACAGTATAGGCAAGGACTGCAGCATCTGGAGCTCCTCCAGCAAGTGGCAGGAGATGGGGAAAGAGCTCCACACTGATGAGCCAGGGGCTAGGAGGACCTCCCTGGCTTTCCCACCACCCCTGCAAGTCTCAGGCACCGGTGAATGAGCAATGTCCTCAGTGACACCTGTCTTTTCCCCCGCCCCCCAGGTGCTGAATCCCTTCTACATCTTCCAGATTTTCAGCATCGTGCTGTGGATCTCTGACACGTATTACTACTACGCTGCCTGCATATTCGTCATCTCTGCCATCTCCATTGGGCTTTCTCTCTATGAGACCCGAAAGGTGGGTGCAGGGCTGTGCTGGGGGGGAGGCGTAAAATCTGGAAGGCCTCCCAATCTGACACTCCAGATCTGCAGCTGGGAAGAGCAGGGTGGTCCTGGTGTTGCAGGCTCTCAAGAAGCAGCCTCCGTCTCTCCGTGTCCTGTTTGCAAGGGGCAGGCTTGTGTCTGAGTCTTTGCACATGGCAGGCGTTTTTCCAAGTGGTTTCCCCGCACCGCCGGGGGGACCGGGAGCTATTGGCATGGCACCAAGTGAAATTCTTGAATTTCTAACTGTAGCCCAGTGGAGCAAGGGGGTGGGAGAAGCAGACTGGATTCACTGGTCCTCTGATCTGCCTGCAAAATAGCCAGGACTGGCAGGCAGAGGGTGGGTGGATGCTGCCGGTCTGCTCCATCCTGCAGGTATCCTCCATCCCTTTTGTGAAAGGGAAGGGAGGGGGGAAGTATGAGTATATGGGGAGGGGTGGGGCAGGCATGGAAAGAGAAAGGAGTAATGGCAGAGCCAGCTCTTCAGTAGCTTCTGCCAAGGTTGCAGGTTCGATCCTCATATGGGACACAAGACCTTTCCTGCCTCAGACAGGAGGGTTGGACTAGATGACTTCTTGAGACCTCTTCCAGCCCTACCTTTCTAATGATTTCTCCATTGCTTGGGGTATCTGCCATGGCTGCGTGTCTTTCTCAAAGCCCTGCTCTCCCAGAAGCACTGGTTTTAGGGCAGGACTCTGGGGTCGAGGAAGGTATCCCAGCTCACGTGATGCAAGAGGTCCACCAAGGGGATTGGCATGGCTTGTTCCAGCCTTAAAATCCAGAAACCACATTAGGAAGTTCAATCTTAGGCCGGTGCCTTTTAAAGCCCTCCCTTGCTTGCTGGTTTATCCACCCGTCTGCCTGCTTGCAGCAAAGCAAGACCCTGCAGAACATGGTGAAGATGGCGATCAGCGTGAGAGTCCACCGCCCCAGCGGAGGTGAGTGCTGGGCAAAGACTGCAGCTCTGCTGTGCCCGCTGCCAAGGCAGGGGCTCTTGTGTCTCTTGCTGATCAGCTCTTAGGCAAATGAGCAGAGGTTCATGGGGTCTCGCAGGGTCTTTCAGTTGCTGTTGCAGCGCCATACGAAGGAGGGCAGCCCTGTCTCCAATATAAAAAGCAGGTGAAGTGATGTGCCCAGAGCCGCCAAGCAAATCGGTGGCAGAGCCAGGAACGTCACACCCCTGCCCCTAACAGAGCATCTTCACGTGGGCACGCAGGCAGGTAGTTTAGGCCCCCTTTTTTTTTTCTGAAGGCACAATGTACCTAGCGCTGCAGAAACCTCAGGTGCGTGTTCGGTCTTCTCCATCAGGCTGCGGCTTTGCCCCAGAGCTCTTATAAGCCCCCTTATTAGTTAAACTTAAATATGCTCAGTAGATAAAAGGCTGCCGTCCCCTCCATTTGAGCGGCTGTTTGCTTGGGGCCCACCACCCTGCAATCACCGGATTAGAGTTAAAAGGTTAAAAATGACACGGGATTTACAGAAAGGATTTCGCCCCCCTCTCCCCCGCTGGCTTGTCTCTTTAGATCTGATCTCTGAAAGGTTCTTGATTCACTGGCAGAGATTGAGGGTTTGCTCTCTCCCCCGCATGGGGTAGCGCCTCCCGCTGTGCATGCATCTACCAGCCAGGTGCTTAATGTTATCCACCATAATGGCACAAACCCTCGAGCGCACAGATTCAATGCACCCCAGCATGTAATTGGAAGCCGTTCAAGCGGTAATTACAGCTAGCTCCAATTTAAGCCTTGGTCCCAGGCAAAGCAAAGCCTTTTGTAGGGATTTGCCTTTAACCGTGGACTTTTAATTCGGTAATTAAGTTCCGCTGATTAAAGGGCAGCAGGGGAAAGTTGGAGGCCAGGTCGCAGAGGGCTTTCTTCCTAAGCAGCGTGGCTCTTGGGATGCTGGCACACTTCCCCTTAGGAAGGGGAGGGGGGCAGGCACATCTCTTGCCCACGTGCAGGTAGGTGCCCCTCCAGAACGTGTCATTTGTTTGGGAGATGTTGGTCTAGAAGAGCTGGGCCTGTGGTCAGGTCCAGGCACCCCTGCTCTCATGGAGACATGGGACTGGGGCATCCTGAGCCATTGAGTCCAGGGCCTCGTTGAACTGCAGGGGCTTCACGAGGATCCAAGCCCAGGATCAGGGCCTTCATGGTGGGTGAAGCTGCCCTGTCCTTGTAACAGCTGCTTTCGCCTTTGCCCTGCCAACAGCGGGGATCTCCCGAGGGAAAGTCCCTCATGCAGTGGGATTTGAACCCCAAGATGAGCTGGCATTCAAGTCTTGTGTTTTAGTGAATGGGACCAGCGGCATTTAACTCCACGGTGATGAGGGCTGCACTGAGGGGGTCCTGATGGCGCCATGCTTGCTCTTGCAGGGGAAGTGATGGTGAGCTCGGAGGACCTGGTGCCTGGCGACTGCATTAGTCTCCCCTGCGATGGGTTTCTCATCCCCTGCGATGCCGCGCTGCTCACTGGCGAGTGCATGGTCAACGAGAGCATGCTGACGGGTGAGTGCCACAGGGCATTGCAGTGCAGGGGAAGGCACACCCACCTCTCTGGACCAGAAGGCTGCATCCTTGCAGCCAGGGGCAGGGAGCTCGTGAAGAGGGCGGGTGCTGAGATTCTGGTCGGGCAGGCGGCAGATCTAGAAGATCCCAGTTCTCCGCGCCACGCACGCAAAGGCAATGGAGAAGCACTGGTTGCCATGTTGGGATGAGTCTCTCTTCATGGCCTCTATCACCATGTGGGTGTTTTCTGCAGGGGAGAGCGTCCCAGTGATGAAGACCCCTTTACCGGATGGGCCTCAAGCCATCAACCTGATCTACTCCCCCGAAGAGCACAAACGGCACACGCTGTTCTGTGGGACGCAGGTGCTTCAAGCCAAGTCGTACGTGGGCCAGGACGTCCTGGCTGTAGTGACCCGCACGGGTAAGCACCAAGCCACGGGCTGTCCCTGCTGTGCTCACCCCACCACCCAACAATCACGCTGCCCAAACAGCACTTGCAGCATGCAAGGACCTCCCAGGACGTCGGATCCGGGTCCCCGCCAGCAAGCAGCTATGTTACAGAAGCTAGTTCATAATTTCATCAAGCTCTATTTTCAGCCTGGTTAGGTTTCCCTTCCTGGCTCCTGCTGGGAGGCTGTTTTAGTGTCTCTGTGCTCTGATGGCCAGGAGCCATCTTCTGTCCTCGCCCTTGGATGCTGCGAATGAGCCTGTTCTGCTTTGTGGCGTCCAGGCAAGGAGAATTGCAGAGGGGCTCCACAGGTACCGGTAAGGGGTTCCCACCCCAGAAGACCACAACTAGAGAACATCAAGGGCCCGCTGAAGGGAGAAAAATCAGCCTGTCTAAATGGATAGGTGGCATTTTAAGCAAGGAAGGCTGGTGTTGGGGAAAGTTAGGCTCACTTCTAGTCTTAGGAGCTGAGGCATTGTGGGCAGGCTTTAAATGGCTCAGGGTAGGATTACTAGCAATTCTGGTTGCATACATATAGGTACACACATGCATGCGTGCACACACACTCACACAGGTGATCCCTTTCCCAGAGAGCAATCTTGGTCGTAGTCTCAGTATTGTTGCGTAGTTCAGCTCTAGCAGGTCTCAAGCCAGCATGTGCAGAGATGGGAATTATGAATTAAACATAGGACCGGGGGCAGGGTGTACGTGGAGGTGTAGGCACTAACCCCGCACCGTGTGACATCTCTCCAGTGTGGCCCACTGCCCTGACACCATTAGGAGAAAGGGGGAACCACAAGACACCTACAGTACTAGTCATCTTGAAGTGCCCAGGTTTCATTTTTTCCCAGCAGATTTATTCAGGTGCTTGGGAAAAATGAGCCATGCATGATGTTTTAGGAGCCACCGTGCCAGCAGCCTCCATGATAAGCCCCTGCCCCTTGTCTTCCCCAGGCTTCTGCACAGCGAAAGGGGACCTGATCAGCTCCATCCTCTATCCCAAGCCGCTGAGTTTCAAGTTCTACAAGGATGCTATGAAGTTTGTTCTCTTCCTTGCCGTTCTGGGTAAGTCTGAAAGCAGGAAGCCTTATTGGCACCAATGCATGGATGCGAGGCTGTTGTTAATGGATGCACCCCCCCCTCTCTTGCAGCTGTTATTGGGACCATATACAGCATCTTGATTTTGATTAGAAACAAGGTGAGTTGCTGGTGCTTGGGGAAATTTTCTGCTTCTGCTGCTCTCCTTTCTGCTCCCTGCCTGCATTTGGGAGCTGACTTTGATGTGGAAGCGGGACTTAGCCCTATGACAGTCCATAGCTGGCATGGTTGTAGTCTGTACCTCCAGATTTCTCAAACACCCAGTGCTGCAGGAGCCAACCAGGCTGTGCAAGCCACCTCCTGTGCAACACAGACAAAAGCCCTGCTGCAAAACTCACCCCTGTGTATAAGCCAGCAGAGATCCAGCCTCCAGCTCCATGCTGCTGTGGCATCTCTTTAGGGCTAAGAGAAGTTGGTTTGGGGAGGGCTGGAAGCTGGCTGGTCGCTCCCAGCAAATCGTGATGCAGGCTGCAAGCTAAGATGCGCTGGGGAGCCTGTGTTTTGGCTTTATTGAATACAAGCATGCGATGCACTGTGGGCAGCTGCACTTGCTGGTCCATCTCCCCTGGAGCCAGGCGCTGTACTGCGGAGCCCCCTCATCCCATTCAAGCTGCTCTCTCTTTCCCTGTCTTCCCGCTCCCGGCTGCCTGACATGAACAGGTTGCCCTTGGGCAAATCATCATCCGTGCCCTGGACCTCATCACTGTCATCGTGCCCCCGGCGCTTCCCGCCGCAATGACCGTGGGCACCATCTACGCCCAGAACCGGCTGAAGAAGCACGGCATCTTCTGCGTCAGCCCGCCCCGGATCAACCTGTGTGGCAAGATCCACCTGGTCTGCTTCGACAAGGTGAGTCCCAGGGGGGCTTTGTTGCCTTGTGGCATGCAGGTCAGTGACCGAGGTGGGCTTGGTTCTGATTCCACCTTCCCTTGCCTCCGCCACAGACAGGGACCCTCACGGAGGATGGCTTGGATGTCTGGGGTGTCGTTCCCCTGGAGAACAGCTACTTCCTCCCTCTCATCCAAGAGCCCCGCTGCCTGCCCGGCGGCCCGTTGCTGTACTCCCTGTCGACCTGCCACGCTGTGTCTCTGCTGAGAGAGCAGCCCATTGGAGACCCGGTGGACCTGAAGATGATGGAGTCTACTGGCTGGGTGAGAGGAGACGGCCTGACTTTGGGCTGCCTTGGGTCCACACAGAAGCATGTGTAGGCCTGTACCCTTCAGGAGTGGTTTAGGAAGGAGGAGAAAGTGTATCCGTCCTTCTGTGCCCTCTTCAGAGGCCTGTGACTCTCACTTCACCCATTTCCTCCTGCTTTACACCTACTTCCCACCAAAGGATGGGGCAGCGACCCTGTGGCACTGAACCTGGGGATTTGTCGGGCTCTGCAGAGAGACCCCAACTTCCCTGCAGATAAACGCTGAACCCCACTGTCCAGTGCGATGGCTGCTCTGTCGGGGGAGCGACGCTGCGGGGGACTGTTTGGCTTTGGGCTGAGCCAGAGAGGTGGAGTTGGCCGGATGTAGATGGGTGTGCAGCCTGCTTGGTTTCTAGCCGAGACAGCTTTGCCTCTTTGTTCTCCGGGTGTGAAAACACGCGGCGAGCACGCAGTCGTGAATGGGGCGAGGCTCAGAGATGCGTGAGCGGCTGGAGCTGTAGTACTAGGAGTAGCTAAGAAGCCAAGAATTGCTTTGAAAGCTAGTCTCAGGCAGCAGCCATGCTGGACAGCTTCACCGCTCACCAACGTGGGTGTCCCGGGATGGGAGGTCTAGAAAACACCCAGAATCACTTTAGTTTTCAATCTACTGATTGAACCCTTTCCTATGTGTAAATGGAGGCTGGGGGGTGGGGGTGGGGGGTATAACAGTGCTATGGCAGCCCCTGAAGGGAGGTGACCTGATGCCGTGAAGAGGACAGGACTGTCCAGGCGTGCGCTGGAGCTGGCAGCAAAACTACAAGGCTGCGGCCGAGCCGTGAAGAGCAGCCCCTTGTTTTGTCTGTTGGCTTGGTAGGACGCGGTGCTGCCGTGTCAGCTGCGGGGAGGGCAACAGGCTCTGAGCTGTGCTTTCTGAACCCCCTCCCTTGGTTTCAGATCCTGGAGAAGGCAGAAGGGGAAGAGGCTGACCTGCACGCCATCCAGCAGTTTGGGACGAAGGTCCTAGCAGCAATGAAGCCCCCGCCTGTGGAGGAGCAGCCCCATGGCACGGTGAGCCCGTGGTGAGCTGGTACGAGGCGGGCAGTCTCTGGTCTCTGGGTGCATGGGGGGTGGAAGGAGAAGGGAGTTAATCCCATAGTTGAGACTAAAACAAGGACCTACATCTCAATCCGGGAAACATCCAGGTACCCCCATCAGTGTGGCGTGGCACTGGCAAAGTCAGGTTGCTGTAGCAATGCATGCACCGATCTCAGCACCATCGGGTTACTTATCAGGGTAACCTGCACCCTCGATAGGGTGAGCAGCGCCCTCTTGACTAGGCCATTTCTAATCGCCCTGGAAGCAGGGGAAGTCCCTGACACTGGGTGTGAGCCGCTTGTGTGGCCGGGTGTGCCACCACTGCAGGCTGATATGCCCCATGGCCCTCTTCAGCATCCCCAGGCCTGTCAGTGCCTTCCTTTCCCTCCCCAGAAGCACCAGGTGCCAGTCGGGATCCTCCGTCGCTTCCCCTTCTCCTCCTCCCTGCAACGGATGAGCGTGGTGGTGAAGCTGCCTGGAGATGCCCCCGCTGAGGCCTATGCGAAAGGGGCTCCGGAGATGGTGGCCAGCCTCTGCAACAAGGAAACGGGTAGCTGTGCCTCCCTCCGCTTGCCCAGATCAGCTGACCACGATTCCCTTTGCTCTCCAAGAGAGGAGACCAGTGATCCAGAGCTCATGGAGCAGCTGCAGGAAGGACCCACCTGCCGGCGGTTCGAGCCTACTGGTCGCTCGTACTGGCGTGGACCCATCGGGGATGCCGGAGAATCTGGGGTTTTATTCGTGTTCTTCTAAAAATAATGCCCAGCTGCTCGTGCTGGAGTGGCAGGGCTTGTCCCCACAGGGACCTGCTCCCGATGAGCATCCGGTGATCCGAGAGTCAAATTAAAACGAGCCTAATCCACTTTGGAAGTATAGTAGCCATGCAGATCAGGCGGCTGGGTTTTAAGTTTGGTGACCAGTTCAAGGTCAAGAACCTGGGGTTAAACTGGAGCTGCCGAACTGAGCCAAAACGGCTCTTCTAACCTGAATTCGCCAAGGCAAGGGACCTTGTCTTAGCCAACCTGAGTTAAAGACCTGCTGAAAGCCATTGTTCCTGTTGGTCCCCAGGGTCCACTCTCAGCTACGTCCATCCTTTCTGGACTGATTGATCCCTGTCTTTCCGCAGTCCCGGGGGATTTCTCCCAGATGCTACGACGCTACACAGCCGACGGCTTCCGGGTCCTGGCACTCGCCTACAAACCTCTCCCTCCGGTCAAAACCTTCGAGGACGCCCAGCAGCTGACGAGGTGCGTGAGCCTGCTGGAGACCCAGCTCCATCCTCTCCTCTGAGATCTTCCTCCCTCCTTTCTTGCTTGCACCCAGTGGGTCAGGGCTGAATGCAAGGAAGCCTTTATGGCCTGGGTCGCGCAGGAGGTGACACTAGCTACAGGAATGGTCCCTTCTGGCCCTGAAATGCAATGGAAATGAACATGGCTTTTAGGGATACGGTTATACAAGGAGTAAGGGTTATAAAGGGGTTAAACACCTAAATCAGGACAGTGTTGCTGCTGCCCAGGGTTATTGCATAAGTTCATTCACTCCCGTATCCAAATCACGGCCCTGCTGTGTCCTAACAGGGACTCTGTAGAGAGCGGATTGACCCTCCTCGGCTTCCTGGTGATGAAGAACGTGCTCAAGGCAGAGACCGCTCCCGTGATCCACCTGCTCAGGAAAGCCAGCCTCCGCCCCGTGATGGTGACGGGTAATGACCGGGCTCAGTGGGGCAGGAGGGACCCAGCATTTATTGTCCCTGATAATGAGCAGGCTTCCCAGAGCTCTTTGCCCTTTACAAATGCTGAAGGAATGGGCCCATAAGGAAAACTGGTCATGTGCCCCCCTTGCTTCCTTCTGATGGACCAAAAAAGACTTGAAAAGGGCTTTCCTTGGCGGGGAAGAGCCCACAGGAGGGTGGATTCTGCTGTCAAAACCTTGCGTTATTGACCCTTGCTGTAGCAGCAGCATTAAGTCTGGCCTTCATTGATTAAAACAAGAGCCGGTATCTTGCTGCCCACCTCGAGCCTGGAACAGCGTCCTGTTCATCTTGGGGTGTTGGCTGTAAACCCTAATGATGGCCACACGCGTGTCAGCTGTTCCACCACTGGGTGTGTTAGTGAAAACACCCAACAGACACATTTTATTAGCTGGAGTTTTGTGGATGTGATGGCCGATCTTGGGTGGGTGTCAGGGAGGCAGCCAGTTGCTGAGGTGCAGAACAAGGGATTATAGAGCTGTCTCCTCCCAGTATTAAAACTGCATCTATCAGCCAAAAATGGGGGACCGTAAAGAACAGATTCACCCCCTCCCCTGTGCCAAAATGCACCGCTCCCTAAACCAAAACCCCATTCCCGTGCTATCTTGGAGGCCCTAGGCACCAAAACACCCCACATCCAGGAGGATTTCCAGCAGGGATCTGCCCAGATCAGACCCAAAACCAGCAGAGGTGTTTCCATTCCTATGATCCCATGTGAGAGAGGGAATGAGTCGCTTGTGAGAGATGTCAGCCACGTCCCCTTGTGTCATTCAGGCGCTGCCATGGTGGAGGTGGCACAAACTGCCCCAGCCCGGCGCTGGCTTCTGAAAGCCATAGTCCACCGTCCTCACTGGCCGCCCGCTTCTCGTTGGCAGGGGACAACATGCTGACGGCGGTGAACGTAGCCAAGAGCTGCCGGATGGTGGAGCCTAAGGAGCGGGTGGTCTTTGTGAACGCCTCTCCTCCCGACCGTGACAGACCCACCGCCCTCAAGTTCAGTCTAGCCGAGCAAGCCCAGGGGCAGGAGCTGGCAGAGGTGAGGCCAGGCGGGAAAGCAGCCCGGCGAGGGGTTCCTCTTTCCCATGAGATGTTGCAGCCAACTTGGGAAGCAGTTGTCATGAGGAGCTCTCACACCTGGGTGTCCCAGGAGAGATGGACATCCAGCGTCCCGAGGTGCAGGGCACGGCCTCCTCTGACCTCACATCCATGGGGGTGATCCTGGTGCTGTTGGTAGCAGAAGCTCGGGCTGGAGCTGGGGCACTGGTACTGGGAATAGGGCCTGGACCAGTCAGGTCTAGACCAGTGGTGCTTGAACTTCCAGCCCCAAAAGCCAGGAGAGGGGCACAAGGTGAGTCCATGAGGCCAGGTCCCATAGGCAGGGACAGTCTGTGGGCCAGCTTCAGCGTGCTGTCAGCACCCAGGGTCAGTCCATGGGGTCATTCCACATCTGGCAGTGGAGTGACCCCATTCCCCAGCACGTGGGGCCGTGCCATCCAGGCCACAGGGTCTGGAGACGCAGCAGGGGGTGGTGGCGATGACTAGAAACCGGGGCAGGGGATGCTGCCAGCACTCCCCTGGATGGCCCACCCAGGGACGGCAGCTTTGTTGCTGGTGTGCTCAGCAGCGGACGGGTGGGCTTGGTTCGCAGGGCCTGTCCCAGCAGGAGGGCTGTCTCCTCAGGCAGCCGCCGTGCCACTTGGCGCTGAACGGGAAATCCTTCGCGGTGGTCTGCGAACACTTCCCTGACCTGCTGCCAAAGGTGAGTCCTTCCCTCTGGCCCCACCTTATCCGCTGGCCATGTAGCTGGGAGTGTGGCCCCTCTCTTGGGCAGCATCTTCCCCCCCCATGTGCCAGGGAGCTGTGGGCTAGCACGCTGTGGCATTGGCTCGTTGCTGTCCAGGTAGCCACGCCGGTGCCCTTTGCCCTCCAAAGCTGTGATGCCAGGCTGACATGATGCTGCTTTCTCTTGCAGATCCTGGTTCGGGCGACAATCTTTGCTCGCATGTCTCCAGACCAAAAAACTCAGCTGGTTCGCTGCTTGCAAGACCTAAAGTAAGGCGGGGGGTGGGGAAGGGGATGGGGCAAAGACCCAGCATTTCCTTGCAAAGAGGTCTTTTGTGAAGCCAAGGCAGGAGGCTCTTATGCTCCTATACCATGCGCAACCCTGAAATCCCTTCCCCCTGACAGTACTATTCAATCCACCGCAGCACCCCGAGCCAGGAGCTAATTTGTCCTCAATACAAAGCCTGATCCTATCTGTGCCTCCAGTTCATTCCCAGTTCGCAGATGATCATCCAGCACATAGAGAAGGGTCCAAACGGTGAAGTTCAATGTGAACTCCCCTGAGGGGCTGGGGTTTGAGAGACTGACATTCAACCCCGTGGCCATCTCTCCTGCCTCTGGGCAAAGAGAGACAAATGGCTTTTACTTGCAGAGCAGAGATTTTAACAGGGTTCAAGAAACCCCTTAGATAAGCTCTAGGGGACTCTGAGCACCTCAGCATTTAGGGACTTCTTCAAAAGCCAGATGCAAACTTTGAGGCCTCCGGCTATGCTTGGGACCACACTTTCCGAAGCTCTGGGGAGGCCATCATCGTGATCTTTGCTCCAAAGGTCAAAACCCCCAAATTGTGGCAAGGGTTTGTCTACACAAGCCTTCCCTGCCAGATGCCTCCCTCATTTCCAATGGGTCCGTGGCCGCTGATAGTAGCCAGGGAGAGGCATCTTCCCAGTGATTTCTTTGCTGAAGGTTTCTCCGTTTCTCATCTCTCTGCAAATGGTGCCACGATTAGGGCAGCCAGGAGATGGACGCTGTTGTCCTGGATGGAGATGCTGTCAAGCACTTTGTGTGCCAAATACTGATGTTTTCCAACTTGCTGGTCCAGAGAGCTCCTCTTCCTGGGGCAGTATGGGCAGGAGAGGGGGCTGGGGATCCCCTCGGCTTATGCTGGGAGTCCACAGAGGTCTCTTTGCTGCAGCTACTGCGTGGGGATGTGTGGAGACGGTGCCAACGACTGCGGGGCGCTGAAGGCTGCTGACGTGGGGATCTCGCTGTCCGAGGCGGAGGCCTCTGTGGCATCGCCATTCACCTCCCGAATTCCCAACATCGAATGCGTGCCCCTGGTCATACGGTGAGCTCAGTCTTCTGTGCTTGCTGGGCTGGGATGGGGTGGTAGGGGTGATCCCAAACCGGAGCGTGTGGGGATGGATCAGCAGGTCGGAGGTTATCGAAGGTGCTTGTGTGGCACCTGCCATCTGTGGGTCTCGGCGCCTGCGCTCTGGTGGCAGTGGTCTCTAGGCTCCCACGGACCTCGTTCTTCCCCTCTCTTCTTCCCCCTGGTTGAAGCTTGGCGTGCAGGGCGCTGTCCGTCCCGAAGCGCACAGGGTCCCAAGGGGCTCTTGGGCTTTCGCGCTTCTTCTGTGCCACTGTCCTTCCTTGGCCTTGGGCCACAGGGCAGAGGTTGGCTGGCTCAGCAGCGTCATCTCGGGGTGTAAAACGATGGCACGACCTGAGCGACAGCCTCCCGGCCCTGCCGTCCATGGCTGCAGCTATTCCAGCTCCTGCTGATTTGGCTTTTGTGCCCTGGGGAAGTGAAGGCAGCAGAAAACCCCCTTCTGTCACCATAGCACGGGCATGGTGGCAGCAGCCCCATGATGTAGGCAAGCCTGGGGTCAAGGCCACCCTGACCGTCCTGCTCAACAGCACTGCACAATGCTAAGAAGAAGCATCTCTAGTGGTCCAGTGGCCAGGCTGTGGCCCCTCGGCATCAGGCCTTGTGCCCAGAGCTGGGTCGCAGTCGACAGAGATGCTCGTGAACTGAACAAGTGCCCCCTTCTCCACGCTCCTGCCGCGAAGGTGGTCGCTGAATTGGGAGCTCCTGTGCTGCCCAGCGAGGCATGTCCCCACCCACAACCCCAGTGTCCCCCCCAGGATGGCGGAGCCCTTTCGGTTCCCAGCTGCCAGCCCGCGCAGAGACGCCTCGCTGGTGTCTACGGGCCATCGGTGTGTAAAGTCTGTCTTATCCCATCTTTCAGGGAAGGCAGGTGCTCTCTGGTCACGTCCTTTGGGGTCTTTAAGTACATGGCCCTGTACAGCCTGGTGCAGTTTGTGTCAGTGCTGCTGCTCTACACGGTGAGTGTTTCCGGTACAGTGGATCGTGGCTCAGAGGAGAAGGGGGTCCGGGCGGTTTGAGGGTCCGGGCAGGGAGTCGCTGCAGCCGTTTACCTCTACCCCCCGCCCAGGTTGAATTCCTCTGGCTTTCCACTATCTTGCAGCTGTTGCAGCCTGGGGAAAGGTGGTTTTCCTGGGAGTGCAGCTTCGAACAAGCCCTTTGCCTGCACACTTGTGCCCCCACGGCCCGGCAGGCAGGGTCGATGCGCTCTGACTGATCAGAGGGAAGCTGGGGATCTGTTGCCCAGGGATTTCTCAAGGCAGTTTGAACCTGGGACACTTCTCCCTATTGTGCTGGGTGACTTCCAGATTTGAACCGGCGAGCTAGCAGTGAAAGACTGCGCCCCCATCTCCCACCCATTCCCCTGAGCCCCGTTCAGCATCTCCAACGTTGCCTCTCGCCCCCAGATCAACACCAACCTGAGCGACTTGCAGTTCCTCTTCTTTGACCTGATCATCACGACGACCGTGGCCGTGCTGATGGGTAAGACCGGCCCGGCACAGGAGCTGGGCACGCAGCGTCCCCAAGGGTCACTGATCAGCATCCTCGTGCTGGGCAGCCTCTTGCTCCAGACAGCCCTGCTCATCATCGTGCAAGTCGTGAGCTACTTCATCACTGTCTCCCAGACCTGGTAAGCAGCTGCCTGGCCTGGAGGGATAGTTGTTAGGGAGCAATTTGCCTGCCAGAAGTTGTTGCTTCGTGACCTCTCTCTGCTGCCCTGAAGCATGAGTGCTTGGGGGATCTGAGCCCTGCCTTCCCTGTCCCCGCTCCCAGGTACGTCCCGCTGAACAGCACGGTGACGGCCCCGCAGAACCTGCCCAACTACGAGAACACGGTCGTCTTCTGCATCTCGGGCTTCCAGTACCTGACCCTCGCCGTGGCCATGTCCAAGGGATACCCCTTCAGGAAGCCGCTCTACACCAACGGTGAGGACAGGGCAGGGCTGCCTGCGTGGGCTTGCAAAGCTGTGAGGCCTGTCGTCAGCCCCTTGGGCACGGAAGCACGTGGCCCGCTCTCCCCCGGGCATCGCGGTGGGGCTCCTGCATCCTGGTGACGGCTCCCCTCCTGTCTCCCGTCACCCAGTCCCGTTCCTGCTTGCCCTCGTCATCCTCTTCGGCCTGATGATTGGGGTGACCGTTTACCCTCTGGGGTTCATGAAATCCCTGCTGACGCTGAAGGACATGAGCGACATGAACTTCAAGCTGCTTCTGGTGGGCATGGCCACGCTCAACTTCTTCGTGGCGTTCACGCTGGAGGTAGGAGGGCGGCCGGGGCTGGCACATCGGTGGCGGTGAGGACACGGGGTCCCTGCTGGATTGATGCATGTTTTGCCCCAAAGAGCGCTGGGTGCAAAGTCTTCCGCAGCCCAGCTTGGTGTGCGGCTGAGGGAGTGAGATGGGATTTGTCGTGGGCATGAGCTACAGCTTCCCCTCTAAGAGCTCCTACCCAAGCCCCAGCCCCTCCCCAATGTCGGCAGCCAGGATTCAGCCCTTTCTCCCATGAACAAAGAGCCCTAATAGCCCCCCCACCCCCTGCAGAGATTATAGACAGCAAGGGGCTGGAAGGGTCATTGGGTCCAGCCCCTAAAGACAACTGGGGTCGAGCAACCCTGGTGCAGCGGAGCAGACAACCGCAGACCAGATAATACCATGGACTCCTCCAGAAACCACCGGGTTTA